AACCGCTCCCCTTCCCCTCCGAGCCTGGAGGAGCCTCCGGGGGGGCGGAGGAACCGTGCCGTGTGCCTGAAAAGCCCGGCTAACCGCCCCGACTCTCTTGTCCTTTCCCTCCCCCCAGCGCCGTTCCGGCCAGCGGACACCAAGGGCATCGTCCGCTTTGACCGCTATGGCGACGGAATCGGGCGCTACAACATCTTCAACTACCACCGGGCGGAGGGGAGATACCGCTACCAGAAGGTGGGCTACTGGGCCGAAGGGCTGACCCTGAACACCAGCCTCATCCCCTGGGCCCAGGCCGCCGTGCCCGTGTCGCAGTGCAGCGACCCCTGCAAGAAGAACGAAATGAAGAGCATGCAGCCGGGGGACATGTGCTGCTGGATCTGCATCCCCTGCCAGCCCTACGAGTACCTGCTGGACGAGGTCACCTGCATGGACTGCGGGCTTGGCTACTGGCCCAACGGGACCTTGAATGGCTGCTACGAGCTCCCGCAGGAGTACATCCGCTGGAAAGACGTCTGGGCCATCGGGCCGGTCACTATCTCCTGCCTGGGGTTCCTCTCCACCCTCTTCGTCTTCGGGGTCTTCGTTAAGCACAACGACACGCCCATCGTGAAGGCCTCGGGCCGCGAGCTCTGCTACATCCTCCTCACCGGGGTGCTGCTGTGCTACAGCATGACGTTCATCTTCATCGCCAAGCCCTCCACCGAGGTCTGCACCCTGCGGCGCCTGGGGCTGGGCACCTCCTTTGCCGTCTGCTACTCCGCCCTGCTGACCAAGACCAACCGCATCGCGCGCATCTTCAGTGGGGTGAAGGAAGGGGTGCAGCGCCCACGCTTCATCAGCCCCACCTCGCAGGTGGTCATCTGCATGGCCCTCATCTCCTGCCAGCTGGTCATCGTCGTCATCTGGCTGCTGGTGGAGACCCCCGGCACGGGGAAGGAGACGGAGCCGGACAAAAGGTACATTGTCACCCTCAAGTGCAACAACCGCGACTCCAGCATGCTCATTTCACTCACCTACAATGTGCTCTTGATCATCTTGTGTACAGTCTATGCCTTCAAGACCAGGAAATGCCCCGAAAACTTCAACGAGGCCAAGTTCATTGGCTTCACCATGTACACCACCTGCATCATCTGGCTGGCCTTCCTGCCCATCTTCTACGTCACCTCCAGTGACTACCGCGTAAGTCACCCCTGCTCAGCAGGGGAGGGGCCGGCAGCCTGTGTCCTGGGGAGCTGGAGGGCGAGGGTGCCTCCTGGGCATCAGGGGACGCAGCTCGGGCAAGGGGGGTTTAAATGCAGCATAACTGCAGGGTAAACAGAAGGGAGAGGGTGTCTCTGGGGCAGGCAGCAAAGGGGAGAAGGCAGCTGGGGGCGGGGCAGGGTCTGTGCAAGTTCCTAGCTACTCCAGTCCCAGGCTCCAGACCTGCCGGCCAATACCTCTCCATCCCCCCTGAACCTCCCAGCTAGTCCAGCTCCTCCCCCAGCCCTGCCAATGCCCCTCCGTCCCGCCCTGCCGCCCCCTGCTCTCCTAGCTCTGGGACAGAGTAGAACAGCAATGGCCCATCGTTGCACCAAATTGTGCCCCGCACCAAGCCACTCACCATTGGCACCGAGTTCAGGGCCCAGACCCAGGCCGACATGCTGGTCCCCCCTTTCTTTGTCCGTCTAAATGCACCTTGATCAGAGCTCTCGCCTAAGGGCCGGGCTTTCCAGCAGCAATTGCAAACCCAAAGTGGGGGGCTGGAAGAGTGCGGCTGGGCCAGCCAGGGGCCCTCGGCGTCCCGGAGACCCAGGGCCCCCTCTCCGGCAGCTCAGTGCATGCCAAGGCTGAACTGGAGGAGGAGGGGGGATATGTCTGACTCTGTTCCCGCTCACTGGGTTCACTGCTGAGGTCTCCAGGAGCCGGTGGGCTGGGAAAACGCTGGGGAAAGGTGTCGGCTCTGGTATTTCTGTGGACAACCAGCAGCACCTAGTGGTAGCTCAGATGAGTGGTAGCGAGCTGGATGGTGTCTGCCCATCGCCAGCCACTGAACCGGGTGAACAGTTTGAATAACAGTTTGACAGGAAGCTGGAGTAAGAGGGTACGTAGGTCCTCTCCTGAGCTGATACCTGGTTAAAAGACAGGAGACAAAGGGTAGGGATAAATGGTCAGTCTTCAGAATGGAGGGAGGTCACTAGTGGGTCTGTCTTGGGACCAATCCTCTTCAACATATTCATACACAATCTAGAGAAAGGAGCAAACAGTGAGGTGGCAGAATTTGCAGATGATACCAAACTGCTCCAGCTAGTGAAGTCCAAAGCAGACTGTGAAGAGCTTCAAAAAGATCTCACCAAACTAGGTGGCTGGGCGACGAAATAGCAAATGAATTTTGATGTTGATAAATGCAAAGTAATGCACCTTGGAAAAACATCCCAAACGATGGGGAGTAAATTAGCTACAACCACTCCAGAGTCAGCAGTGTGATGCTGTTGCAAAAAAAGCAAACATGGTTCTGGGAGGCATTAACAGGTGTGTTGTGAGCAAGACGCGAGAAGTCATTCTTCCGCTCTACTCTGCGCTGGTTAAGCCTCAGTTGGAGTGTTGTGTCCAGTTCTGGGCACCGCATTTCATGAAGGATGTGGAGAAATTGGAGAGGGTCCAGAGAGGAACAACGAGAATGATTAAAGGTCTAGAGAACATGAGCTATAAGGGAAGACTGAAAGAACTGGGTTTGTTTAGTTTAGAAAAGAGAAGACTGAGGGGAGACATGAGAGCAGTTTTCAGGTATCTAAAAGGGTGTCATAAGGAGGAGGGAGAAAACTTGTTCATCTTGGCCTCTGAGGATAGAACAAGCAGCAATGGGCTTAAACTGCAGCAAGGGAGGTTTAGGTTGGACATTAGGGAAAACTTCCTAACTGTCAGGGTGGTCAAACACTGGAATAAATTGCCCAGGGAGGTTGCGGAATCCCCATCTCTGGAGATATTTCAGAGTAGGTTAGATAAATGTCTATCAGGGATGGTCTAGACAGTATTTGGTCCTGCCATGGGGGCAGGGGACTGGACTCGATGACCTCTCAAGGTCCCTTCCAGTCCTAGTATTCTATGATTCTATGAGAGAGTTACCGTGGAGAGTTCTCTGAAAACATCCATGCAGGGTGCAGCGGCAGGCAAAAAAGCAAACAAGTTAGGAATCATTACAAGGGACAGAGAATAAGACAGATATAAACCCCTGGTACGCCCACATCTGAAATACTCTCAATCCCCCCTGAATCCCGCACGCAGATGTGGTCCTAATACTGCATGCAGATGTGGTTGTCTCCTCTCAAAAAAGAAATCTTAGCATTGGAAAAAGTTCAGAAAAAGGGCAAAAACAGTGGTTAGGGAGTTGGGACAGCTGCCATATAAGGAGAGCATAAGAAGACTGGGACTTTTTAGCTTAGAAAAGAGGAGACTAAGGGGGGGGTTATGATTGAGGTCTATAAAATCATGACTTGGTGTGGGAAAAGTGAATAAAGACGAGTTCTTTATTTGCTTCCATAACACAAGAAGGAGGGGTCACCAAATGAAATAAATAGGTAGCAGGTTTAAAACAAAGAAAAGGAAGTGTTTCTTCATGTAGCACACAGTTAACCTGTGGAACTCCTTGCCAGAGGATGTTGTGAAGGCCAGGACTTTAACAGGGTTCAAAAAAGGGCTAGTTACATTCCTGGAGAGTAGATCCATCAATGACTATTAACAGAGATGGAGTTTGTAGCTTCTGTTTGTCAGAGGCTGGGAATGAGTGACAGAGGATGGATCACTTGATGATTGTTCTAATCTCGCCCTTTGGGGCACCTGGCCACTGTCGGCCGACAGGACACTGGGCTAGATGGACATTTGGTCTAACCCTGTCTGGATGTTCCTGAATGATGTACGTTGGAGAAACACTTCCTAAGGCTGCTGGTGGCAGGCTGGTGGAGTGTGCAATGGGCCAGGTGAGGCTGCATGGGAGTTGGGTTCTGGTCCCTGCCTTACCAAGTCCTGTCCGGAGGATGGTAACACTGGCTCACCTCGATGGGGTAGGAGGGGGGCAGGCGAGCTTTCTGCCAGACAGCGTCATGAGCAACGTCTGTCGCTGCAGTCGTCTCATCCTGCAACTTCGCCAAACTTTAACTTGTCGGGCTGAAATTCCCCAGGCAGGGCGTCTGCCTCAGGCTAGTTTTTTTGGACACTTGCAGCCAGCTGGCGCCAGCTGTTTCGAAGCGCGAGGTGAGGCGGGATGGGCCGGCGTGGCTCTGGGGTACACTCTCCCATGCAGGTTTGGAAGCAGGGCGCCTCCAGACTGGTGCAGGGACTTGAAATGGGCAGGGGAGTTTCCCCAGTCTGGCCAACCGACCTCAGCACGTTTCCGTTTTTGTTACAACTGAGTCCTTCTGAGCATGCTCCAAGGGAGCAGAGTCGGGATTGCTTTGCAATCAGAGAGAGGCGCTGCCCTAGAGCTGAGCGGGGGAGCCTCAGAGAACCCCCCCTACCCCTTCCCCCTGCCATGAGGATGGGAACTCAGAGCACCTTGAAGGCAGAGGAGTGACAAGCAGGACCAGTGGTGAGAGGAGTTGGTGAGTGGGGAGACTGGGACATGGTGCTGAATGGGGAGTGAAGAGTCAAGGGCAGGCAGGAGGAAACTGAGGCCAGGACCTGGCGCGGAGAGGCTGGGATGGAGACCACACTCCATTAGCTCCCCCTGCCATGAGGATGGGAACTCAGAGCACCTTGAAGGCAGAGGAGTGACAAGCAGGACCAGTGGTGAGAGGAGTTGGTGAGTGGGGAGACTGGGACATGGTGCTGAATGGGGAGTGAAGAGTCAAGGGCAGGCAGGAGGAAACTGAGGCCAGGACCTGGCGCGGAGAGGCTGGGATGGAGACCACACTCCATTAGCTCGAGACCAAGGTCTGTGCCATGAATCTAAAGGGTCCCACCCTGCTGAGTCCCCAAGAGCGTGCGTCTGATGCCCTAGGGCGGGTTTCTTTTCAGGTCGCTTTCTAAGAACACAGAAAGCTGTGCTCCAGGATCAAGGCAAGCCCATGGAAATTAGGACAAGCTAAAATTGCCTGCCCCAAGGCCCGTGGCCTTTTAAACAGCTGGGCCCCTTTCGCTGCTTCCCCCCCTCAGCGGCCCTGGCTGCAGAGTTGGAAGTGTAGCATGAAACAGGCCAGAAGGCAGAGGAAGGATGGCCTAGGGGTTAGAGCAGGCGAATGGTGCCCTGGAGAAATGGATTCTCCCCTTGCCCCTGCTGCAGAGCTCCTGTGGGGGGCTGGATGGCTCATTCCCACCCGGCGTCTCCCAGGGGGTCACTAATTGTGTGGGTCTCGTTTGCTGGGGGCCTGACGCAGCTGGGGCTGAAGCCGGGGGGAGGGCTCAGTGGTGAACAAAGGACACCCCGAGTTCTCTGCAAAAGCAGGGCCTGGCATCGCCGCGTGGGCACCGAAAGTGAGTGGGGACGTTCAACCTCACTCTGTCTCCGGGCCTCAGTTCCCCAGCTGTAAAATGGGGACAATCCCGTGCCCTGGTCTCCCGGGGCACTGCGAAGCGATGCGCAGGCCCCCCGGAGGCTGTGAACACGCCCGCCCCCCTCTGGACAGCGGGCGGGAGCCACCGCCGGGCCG